GACGGCGAGGTCTCGCTCAGATCCGCGCGGTGCCACACTCCGCAGGGCCCACCAGCAGCCCTCGAAAGTGGCGACAATTTCGCAGATCGCAGCCCCCCAGGCACGGCGAGGTCTCGCTCAGATCCGCGCGGTGCCTCACCCCGCAGGACCCACCAGCAGCCCTCGAAAGTGGCGACAGTTTCGCAGATCGCAGCCGCCCAGGGACGGCGAGGTCTCGCTCAAATCCGCGCGGCGCCCCACTCCGCAGGACCCACCGGCAGCCCTCGAAAGCGGCAACAGTTTCGCAGATCGCAGCCCCCATCGTCGGCGAAGAGAGGGCAGGAGGAGGCGGGAGGCGGGAGGATGAGGAGGAGGAGGAGGAGAAGGAGGAGGGACGCGACCACACCCCTCTATTCAAAACGAATACCCAACCAAGGAGGGTTGGGAACAACACAAAAAAATACCCTGGCGACGTACCCACCCCCTGCGCAATGCGGGGCATGAGTAGCTTGGGAGACGCTATATGGAGGCGATGACGTGACATGGGCGCATATACTTCTGCGAGCGGCATTCGTGAGGCTCGCAGCCCCCCAAGGATTGCGATGTCCCGCTCAGATCTGACTGGTGCCTCACTCCGCTGGACCCACAAGCAGCCCTCGAAAGTGGCGACAATTTCGCAGATCGCAGCCCCCCAGGGACGGCGAGGTCCCGCTCAGATCCGCGCGGCGCCTCACTCCGCAGGACCCACTAGCAGCCCTCGAAAGTGGCGACAGTTTCGCAGATCGCAGCCCCCCAGGGACGGCGAGGTCCCGCTCAGGTCCGCGCGGTGCCTCACTCCGCAGGACCCACCCGCAGCCTTCGAAAGTGGCGACAGATTCGCAGATCGCAGCCCCCCAGGGACGGCGAGGTCTCGCTCAGATCCGCGCGGTGCCTCACTCCGCAGGACCCACCAGCAGCCCTCGAAAGTGGCGACAGGCTCGCAGATCGCAGCCCCCCAGGGACGGCGAGGTCTCCCTCAGATCCGCGCGGTGCCTCACTCCGCAGGACCCACCCGCAGCCCTCGGACCCGGATCAGCCCCCCACGGCGAGGTCTCGCTCAGGTCCGCGCGGTGCCTCACTCCGCAGGACCCACCAGCAGCCCTCGAAAGTGGCGACAGTTCGCAGATCGCAGCCCCCCAGGGACGGCGAGGTCTCGCTCAGATCTGCGCGGTGCCTCACTCCGCAGGACCCACCAGCAGCCCTCGAAAGTGGCGACAGTTTCGCAGATCGCAGCCCCCCAGGGACGGCGAGGTCTCCGCTCAGATCCGCGCGGTGCCTCACTCCGCAGGACCCACCAGCAGCCCTCGAAAGTGGCGACAGATCGCAGATCGCAGCCCCCCAGGGACGGCGAGGTCCCGCTCAGGTCCGCGCGGTGCCTCACTCCGCAGGACCCACCAGCAGCCCTCGAAAGTGGCGACAGATTCGCAGATCGCAGCCCCCCAAGGACGGCGAGGTCTCGCTCAGGTCCGGCGGTGCCTCACTCCGCAGGACCCACCAGCAGCCCTCGAAAGCGGCGACAGTTTCGCAGATCGCAGCCCCCCAGGGACGGCGAGGTCCCGCTCAGAATCCGCGCGGTTGCCTCACTCCGCGGACCCACCCAGCAGCCCTCGAAAGTGGCGACAGCTTCGCAGATCGCAGCCCCCCAGGGACGGCGAGGTCTCGCTCAGTCCGCGCGGTGCCTCACTCCGCAGGACCCACCAGCAGCCCTCGAAAGTGGCGACAGTTTCGCAGATCGCAGCCCCCCAGGGACGGCGAGGTCTCGCTCAGGTCCGCGCGGTGCCTCACTCCGCAGGACCCACCAGCAGCCCTCGAAAGTGGCGACAGTTTCGCAGATCGCAGCCCCCAGGGACGGCGAGGTCTCGCTCAGATCCGCGCGGTGCCTCACTCCGCAGGACCCACCAGCAGCCCTCGAAAGTGGCGACAATTTCGCAGATCGCAGCCCCCCAAGGGGACGAGGTCTCGCTCAGATTTGCGCAGATCGCGAAGAGATCTGGCGGGTCGCAGGTGCCTCACTCCGCAGGACCCACCAGCAGCCCTCGAAAGTGGCGACGGTTTCGCAGATCGCAGCCCCCCAGGGACGGCGAGGTCTCGCTCAGATCTGCGCGGTGCCTCACTCAAGCGCGAGGGACCCACCAGCAGCCCTCGAAAGTGGCGACGGTTTCGCAGATCGCAGCCCCCCAGGGACGGCGAGGTCTCGCTCAGATCCGCGCGGTGCCTCACTCCGCAGGGCCCACCAGCAGCCCTCGAAAGTGGCGACAGTTTCGCAGATCGCAGCCCCCATCGTCGGCGAAGAGAGGGCAGGAGGAGGCGGGAGGCGGGAGGAGGAGGAGGAGGAGGAGGGACGCGACCACACCCCGCTATTCAAAACGAATACCCAACAAAGGAGGGTTGGGAAAAAAAGGAGACAACCCAAACCATCTGCAGTTGTGAATACCGTGGTGGTGCGAATTCCCTCTTCGGTGGACCTCCGCATGGGGCCACGACACGCGCGAGGGGTGTACCGAAACGGGCGCGGTGGTGGCATGCGGGTGCTGCCACTCGGGACTTAGGTGCAGCTCCCCTATGGGGCCACGACACCTGTGAGGGGTGTGCCGAAACGGGTGCGGCGGTGCCATGCGGGCGCTGCCTCTGGGGCCTTGGGTGGAGCTCCCTATGGGGCCACGACACGCGCGAGGGGTGTACCGAAACGGGCGCGGTGGTACCATGCGGGCGCTGCCGTTGGGGCCTTCGGTGGAGCTCCCTATGGGGCCACGGCGCGCGTGAGGGGTGTGCCGAAACGGGTGCGGTGGTGCCATGCGGGCGCGTCCCTATGGGGCCACGAAACGCGTGAAGGGTGTGTCGACATGGACACGTGGAGGGCAAAGGCAAGGGTGGGAGGAGGAAGGAGCGGGAGGAGGGAGGAGGAGGCGAGGAGGAAAGAAGGAACGTGGGGCACTGTCTCTTCGGAACGAGGGCCCAACACCAAAGGATGGTTGGGAAACAAAAACTAGCCGTTTCTCCTCGACTTCGCCTTCTGGGGCCCCTTGTCTGGCTCGGGGATCCTCAGCAAGCGATCCGGGACGAACAGCCACCCCCCAGGAAAGGGGTCGGGACCTCTGCAGGGGCCGCGGACTGCACGAATCAGATCGGAGGATGTCTGGGGGGCGATGAACGAGCAACACACACCCGTATCCATAGGGGGGCGGCGGGGACTGTGGGTGCGTCTTGTCGGATGGGGGTCCCCGCTCGAACGGGAGCCCCCCCCCCGAAAGTCCGACAACCCACACCCATCCCAATAGCCAGTCCTCTTCCCCGTGCAGTAAAGCTGCGCGCCAGCTCATTACAGCACATGGCGATTATGAAAACCTAGCGGAGGCGCAATGCCGCGACCGCGAGGAATGGCAGAATTGTGGAGGCTCTTGGGGGGCGCATCTGGGGCCGTATTGGTGGTCTCGTGGGGTGCCTCCTGGGCGGTCAAGGGCCCTTTGGAGGCCGCCTGGGGGCCCTCGTACGGGGCAGCTGGGGCCCCCTGCGGGCCTCCTGGAAGCCTCTTGGGGCGTGACTGGCGGGGTCGGCGTCTGTGAGGCCGCTCCTGGAGCTTGCCTGAAGGCGTCTTGGGCCCTTCGTGGAGCCTCTCGGGCCGTGGATGGGTCCTGTGGAACCGTCTTGGCGCTCCCCGGGGGGTCACTGGGGGCTGTTTGTGGGCCGCCTGTGGACGTCTTGAGCCGTCGGGAGCTCAGAAAAGCGAGAACGCTGAAATCTTCTAATCATTGTGAGCTTATTTGGCGCATCCTGGGGGCTCTTCGGAAGCTCCTGGGAGCTTTGGCGGGAACATCGAGGGTGCCCCTTCGGGCGTCATGGGAGCCTCTTGGGGCGCCTTTGGGAGGCATCTTGGCGCTCTCGGCGCTGGTAGGGGCGTCTTGGGCCGTCTGGAGGCTCTAGTGGGCTGCGTGGGGCTTTCTTGCCTGTCTCGGAGGCGCCCCGAGGCATCTTGAGGCCCCTTCTGGGGCATCCTTGGAAGCCCGCAGGGAAGTATCAGAGGTTTGTCGCAGATGCCTGGGTGCGGTTGGAGGTTGGGCTGCCTTGATGGCTGACCAGCCCCTCTCGGGAGCGATTTCGGGCCCCCGTTGCGGGCGTGCTGGGGATTCGTGGGGCCTCTTGCGCGCGTCGTGGGGGGCATCGTGGAGCTTCGTTGGGGCGATCTGGGGGCCTCAGCAGACCATCGAGAGCGAAAAGGAAACAAGGAAGACATCACTGAGTTTCTTCGGATGTTAAAATATTGATGACCTGTCGGTGGTGTCCTACAGAGCTTCCTGGGGCTCTCTTAAGGCGTATTGGGGCAATATTGAGACCCTCTAGGGGCGACTTGAGGCCCTCTCGGTCTCGGGCCCCTGCGAAGGCTCCCTTGAGCCCTTTTGGAGGGCGTCTTTGGGCTGTCCTGGTCTTTCGTGGGGCTCTCTTGGGACCATCTTGGGGTCCTTCGGGGCGCCTCTGAGTCCCGCGCAGTCCTCTTAGATCCATCCTGGTTAAGAAAACGCAGAACGATTCCAATTAATATTGCCGCATGATTGAACTGATATTGGTCGAGCGGGTATCCTCGTGGGACCCCCTGGGACCATCTTGGAGGCATCCTGAAGCCCTCTTAGACATTGTTGGCGACGTCGTGAACCTCATAAGTGCCTTTTTGTGTTGAGTTGGAGCAACATGCAGCAGGCAATGTCTGCGGTATGCCTCCCCCTCCTATATGCGGGTGCATCCCACTGTCACCTCATAGTTGTGCAAAGTTACGCGCCTCGCCTCGCACCATGGATGAGAAGCAATAACAGTACCCCCATAACCCTTTTGTGAGGGGACCTACGCTAAGAGAGCCAACAACATTAGGAATAGGGGGCCTGTTCCGCAGATGTACCACACCAAACCGCCGTAACGTATCACCCCGAATGCGAAGACGGGAACCTAAACGAGGCCACGTCCGCATCGTGATATTAGGATTAGGGGCTCTGTTGTTCTCGACGAATGGAGACATAACGTGCAGCAAGTAATGTCTGCAGTGCGAGAGAATGGTGCCCCCTGCTATTTCCGGGTGCATGCCGCTCTGCCCTCACAGCTCGTGCGGCAAAGCTACGCGCCAACTCGTCGCAGCAAATGGTGATACAGCGGAGGCGCAATACCACGAGGAAAAGAAAAGAGAAAATAACAGAATTGAGAAGACTATTTGGGGGAGAGTCGAGGGCGCCCACGGAAATGCCCCCCCTGCTAGATGCGGGGGCATCCAACTGTTACCCCATACTTCTGAAAAGCTACGCGCCTTGCGCCATAGAGGCACAACATGCAGCGGGTAATGTCTGCACGGCGAGCGGGAATGGTGCCCCTGCTTGTTGCGGGTGCATGCCGCTCTGCCCTCACAGCTCGTGCAACAAAGCTACGCGCCAGCTCGTTATAGCACATGGCGATGACGAAAATGCAGCGGAGGCGCAATGCCGCGACCGCGAGGAGAAGAGAGGAGAGAATGGCAGAATTGTGGAGACTCTTGGGGGGGCATCTAGGGCCGTACTGGTGGTCTCGTGGGGTGCCTCCTGGGCGGTCAAGGGCCCTTTGGAGGCCGCCTTGGGGCACTCACAGCTGACAAACATTGGTCTCCCAGAGATCGCTGATGAGTCGTGGAACTGTCGGTCAGCTCCTGCTTCAGAGTGTCCAAAGGAGACTGCAAAGATAGGCTGGCAGCGTCCAGAATGTGTGACTTCATCTCCTCGAGCTTGGGCGGCAGCCGACGGCAGAGCGAAGCCTCGACCGCTCTGGCGAGTTCAGCTTGCAGCTGGGTGACCTGCGCCGACACTGCAGCAGTTTTGTCAGCCACGTAGGCCTGCAGCACCGAAGAAGAGATATTAGGAAGGGCCACCATCCTCAGCTGCTCCAGCTCCTGGATCAACGAAGCAATCGTGCTGTTCTGAGCGTCGATCAGCTGTTGCACAGAAGAGTCCCCGGTAATGTGATGGGAGTGCCCACTGCACGCCGAACTGAATCCCAAGAAGTGGGTGCCTTGCTTGCCGCAGGGGCCTGGGCCAGGCTCAGCCAAAACACGACAAGGGCGTGCAAACTTATAACGAGGAGCCACAATCTTGCCACAATCACCAGCACAAGACAAGAACGACTTGTTGCCATTAGCGTTGCAAGCATCCTGAGGCACGAATTCAGTGACCAAAGGGTTGAATTTGGATACTGCTGGTGGCAAACCCTGCCCACGAGAAAGGGCGTCGAATATGCTAATAATGCAGGGCCCTGGTCCCGAGCGCTCAGAAGATGGCACGTCCACCACCGACTTACCATACCCACCTCTCTGCCGCCTGCGGCGCCGGCAAAACGATGGGAAGAAGCAGAACCACTGTGAATGTTTCGCGGCACCAGCAGCCGAGTTGACCATCATAGCCAGGCGAAAGATGGGAGCAGGAATAAGACCATGAAGAAACATAATCGCAGCACATGTTGAATTAAACTCCCGTCCAGCAGCCGCCACCGCACACGAATGAATCGTAAGTTGCAAACCAATCAGTAAAAGACGATATGGGATCGAAGAGAAGCCAGCCGCGATGCAGAGGCAGAAGGATAGCGCCACGTCAGCAGCCCACAGGCAGCATCGCGGGGACACGAGGAGGGCCATGCCGAGCAAAGATGAATTGCGCAGCGACATCTTGGCAAGCCTGGCTTGAGCCAAAATGGCTACGAAAAAAAAACAATGTTTATGTATACATATGAACCCATACATACATACATACATATATCCATACATACATACATACATGCATGCATGCATGCATGCATGCATGCATGCATGCATACATACATACATACATACACACATGCATCCATGCATGCATACATGCATATATACATAATTACGTACATATATACATACACACATGCATACATTCATGCATACACACACATACGTGTGCATGTATGTATATAAAATGTATACACATATACATACCTACATACATACATGCACACACGTACGTACATACATACATACATACATACATACATACATACATACCCACATGCACGCATGCATGCATACATACATAGATACATGCATACATACATACATACATATATACATTCATGTATATGAACATATACACATACATACATACATGCATGCATGCATGCATACAGACAGACAGACAGACAGACAGACAGACAGACAGACATGCATGCATGCATGCATACATACATAAACACATAAATACTTACATACATACATACATTAATATACACATACACCTACATAACCATACACATACATACATACAGATAGACATACATACATACATGCACTCAGAGTTGCATACGCACATACATATACAAATACATATAGATAGAAAGAGAGATATCTCCACAGACATGGGCATTCAAACAAAAGCTGCATGTTTATGAATATTGAAAACCTATACGACCACCTTTCGGGTGATAAGGAGGTTTGGGAGGAAAGGAAAACCACCTGACAACAACTGCGAGGACTGTGACGGCGATGATGAAGCGCCATCGATCTCACGAATTGCACAGTCAATCTCACTATCGATCCCGCTATCCCTCTCGATATCGATCGCAGTATCGATCTCGCGATCGATCTCACTATCGATCTCAATACCGATAGCATACGCGATCTCACTACCGACCTCAGAAGAGATCTCACTAGACACCATCGGGATACCACAAACGGGGGCCCCCAGGAAAGATCTCTCGTGATCGATCTCATTTTCGATGTCACCCTCGATTTCACTATCGATCTCTCGATATCACGATCACGATCGATCACGCGATCGATCTGTTTATCGATATCACGATCGATACAACACATGATCTCACGAGCTACGATCGAGACACCACGGCGGGACACCCAGAGCCACCGTCGGGACAACCCGCGCCACCGACGGGGCACCGCGCCACCGACGGGGCACCCCCACGCCACCGACGGAGCAACCCGGGATCGATCTCACGATCACGATCGATCACGCAATCGATCTCACTGTCGATCTCACTATCGATCTCAAAACTGATCTCACGACCCTATATCGGAACACCACGGCGGGACACCCGGAGCCATCGCCGGGACACCCCGCGCCACCGACAGGGCACCACAAACCACAGACGGGACACCGACGCGCCACCGACGGGACACCCCGGGCCCTCGCGCGGCGCCAGGAGGCGAGGGGCGGACAACCGGCTCCACAGCCTCAAGCCACGGCGGTATCATTCCTCTCGCGCGCCCACGCAGTTTCACCTTGCCCGCACGCGCGTCACGAACACGAAGCCGAAACCGATTTCCCGGTGGAGGGCTCTCCGTTCCACTGCGATCTCACTCGCTACCTCTGAGCTATGTATATACCTATACGACCACCCTTCGGGTGATAAGGAGGTTCGGGGGGGGGAGGAACCAACGTCTCACTCGATCGGTCTCACTATCGATCTCACTATCGATCCCACTATCGGTCTCGCTCGATCGATCTCATTCGATCGATCTCACGATCGATATCACTCGATATATTTCATTCGATTGATATCACAATCGATACGGCGATCGGTCTCACAATCGATCTCACATTCGATCTCACTATCGATCTCGCAATCGATCTCACATTCGGTCTCACTACCGATCCCACGATCGATATCACAATCGATATCACAAGCAACGTCATCATCATCATCATCAACATCATCGTCATCGACGCCACCAACATCATCATCATCATCAGCATCATCATCATCATCGTCATCATCATCATCGGGACACCGTCATCATCATCACCTCATCACCACAATCATCATCATCCCAATCATCATCGTCGGGACACCATCGTCGTGACCATTATCATCATCAGCACAGTCATCGGGACATCATTATCATCACCATCATCATCAGCATCGGAACACCACCATCATCATCATCGTTCGCCATCATGAACAACATCATCAACATGATCATCATCATCATCATCATCATCATCATCATCATCATCATCATCATCATCATCGGGACACCATCATTCGCATCATGAGCAACCTCATCATCATCCACATCAGCTTCATCATCATCACCGGGACACCATCATCATCGTCACCATCATCATCGTCACCATCATCACCATCATCATCATCATCAGCATCGGGACACCGTCGTCATCATCAACATCAGCATCCCATAATCGGGCCACCATGATCAAAACCATTAACATCATCCTCATCGTCAACATCACCATCATCGGGACAACATCATCGTCATCATCACGATCACGAGCAACATCATCATCATCGGGACACCATCCTCATCATCAACATCATCACCTTCATCATCATCAACAGCACCAGCATCAACCTCATCACCACCATCATCATCGGGACACCATCATCATATTTATCATCAACAACAGCATCATCCTCTCCTCATCATCTCATCATCGTCAACACCATCAGGATCATCAACATCATCATCATCATCGGGAAACCATCGCCATCATCAGCGAAATCAGCATCATCAACATCATCATCATCGGGACGCCATCATCATCACAACCATGGCCATCATCATCATCAACATCGTCATCATCATCAACATCATCATCACCGGGACACCATCATCACCACCATCACCATCATCATCATCATCAACATCATCGACATCATCAGCATCATCATCATCCTCATCATCATCATCATCATCATCATCATCATCATCATCATCATCATCATCATCGGGACACCGACGGGACACCGGAGCGACACCGGCGGGACACCGCGCGGCACCGGACGCCGGAAGGGAGTCATTTGGTCCGGCCGCGCCTCAGCCGGAGGCGGGACACCGGCGGGACACCGCGCGGCACTGGTTGCCGGAAGGGAGTCATTTGGTCCGGCCCCGCCTCAGCCGGACGAGACTTTCTTCTCGCCCGCCCACGCAGCTTCGCTTCGCCCGCACGCACGGCACGCACGAACACGAAACCGAAATCGATTTCCTGGTAGGGGGGCTTTCCGTTACACTTTGATTTCACCCCCTCACCTCCGATATATGAAATATAGATGTGTATATCAACGTACGTGCTTGTACGCACATGTACGCACGTAGCCGTGTTGTTGTGTTTGACCGTCTGCATTGTGCATATGTATACACATGCATGCATACATACATACATACATACATGCAGGCACCCATATACATACATACATACATACATACATACATACATACATACATTCATACATACATACATACATACATACATACATACATACACACTAACCTATGTACATACAAGGATACATGCATGCATACATAGGTACACATACGTACGTACATGCATACACATAAATACATACCTATATGACCACCCTTCGGGTGATAAGGAGGTTCGGGGCGGGGGAACCAACGTTTTACTCGATCGGTCTCACTATCGATCTCACTATCGATCCCACTATCGGTCTCGCTCGATCGATCTCACTCGATCGATCTCACAATCGATCTCACTCGGTCTATGTCATTCGATCGATCTCACAATCGATCGGACGATCGATCTCACAATCGCTCTCACTATCGATCTCACCATCGATCACACAATCAATCTCACATTCGGTCTCACCATCGATATCACCATCGATATCACAATCGATCTCACAATCAACGTCATCATCATCATTGTCATCATCATCATCGTCATCAACGTCATCATCAACATCATCATCATCATCATCATCATCATCATCATCATCATCATCATCATCATCATCATCATCCTCGGGTCCCCATCACCATCATCACCTCATCATCATCATCATCATCAACAACAGCACCATCACCACCATCATCGTCACCGGGACACCACAATCGTCACCACCATCATCATCAACAGCATCATCATCGGGGCACAACCATTACCATCATCATCACCGGAACACCACCATCATCATCATCTCATCATCATCACGAATAACATCATCAAGATCATCATCATCGGGACAACATCATCATCAGCAACATCACCATCATCAACATAACCATCATCATCGGAACACCATCATCATCGTCACCATCATCATCACCATCATCATCATCGGGACACCATCGTCATCATCAACATCAGCATCATCATCACCATCATCGGGCCACCATCATCAAAATCATCACCATCACCTCATCATCATCCTCATCATCACCACTCATCATCATCATCGGGACACCATCATCGTCATCATCATCCTCAAAATCATCACCATCACCGGGACACCATCATCATCATCACCACCATCAATCATCAACAGCATCATCATCAACCTCATCCTAATCATCATCGGGACAACATCACCATCATCGCCTCATCATCATCTCATCATCATCAACATCATCAGGATTATCAACATCATCATCATCATCGAGACACCCTCATCATCGGCATCAGCAACATCATCATCATCAACACCATCATCGTCGGAGCACCTCATCATCACCACCATCACCATCATCATCATCATCATCATCTTCATCAACATCGCCAACATCATCATCATCATCATCATCATCATCATCATCGGGACACCATCATCATCCCCACCATCACCATCATCATCATCATCAACATCATCGACATCATCATCATCATCATCATCATCATCATCATCATCATCATCATCATCAGGGCACCGCCGGGACGCTGGCGGGACACTGGCGGGA